AATAGGGTCTGCACACAAGGGAAGGCACAAGGGGAAGCAAGAGGTTCTCCCCGTGGACCGACCCGTGACGAGATCCTACGCGCGGGCCCATAACAACATTTACATGCAACATTTTCTGTATGAACAGCTATTGTACATTATGAATACAAGATTTTCATACATAGCAGATGCATGTATTTGATTCAATTTCAAAGTAACATAAGAATGGAGATAATTATAGATAATACACAATGAAGAATGATAAAATCAACTTAAAAACGCAAGGTGCCAATCAGCTGGTTGGTAAGGTCTCCTGCTGGTCATAGCAGAGACTTGGGATCAAATCCCACCTGCACCTGGGTTGGGGGATGGACTACCCCCCGTTGTGTAGCCCTTTAAAAGATATCAAAAAAATAAACAAATAAAATCAACTTAAAAAATATTGAAGTGAATAATGTAAATAATGATGGACTGATTGATTAGAACAACCAATTGGCTTTATGCTCTAGTTACAGGGTTTACTGATTTCTCAAGGAAAGATCCAAAATATTGAAAAGGATGACAGCAGAGAAAAAGGATTATGGTCCTTAGTCACTGCAAAATAGAAAAAATATTACAGAATCTCAACAAAAGAAGCACATCAAGTTTCTATACTATACTCCTGAATTCAAATCTCACTAGCAACCCAGGCACCCATAATCAGTGGAAAGTGAGTAGATATGTGGAGAAGGGGATGCTGAAACACCAACTGTCAACAAAAACATGCTTCTAATGCTTCTTACTATCCATGGATTATATGCTTTTCCAACCAACAAAAGAGGAATTCAAAGTGAAAATTAAATCATGCAAAAAGTAAGTATAAATTAAAGAACGAAATGCTAATAACAATGAATTCTGTAGGGGACAAATAATGCCAACAAATCTAAACCAGGACCACCCAAAAGTTCAAATGGATACTCTGAAGTCCTGCTAAGGAAACAAACTTATACTTACCACGTAAGTTCCAGGGTAAAATATTGTAAGGGTTGACTTCCGTAATCACGTTGGCTGCGAGAGGAGCCCCATTAACCATTCGTTCCAAGAATACCAGAAGCTCCTCATCAGTCCAGTGAAAGCCGATCTCAGCATGCTGAGGGACAGGTGCCGAAGGACACATTGTGAAGCAAGTCTAGAAGAACAACTTAGGCCCTAGAACCTGTATTAGGCTGGTTGAAAGCAGGAGTGCATCAATACCAGAAGTACATAGAAGAAACTAAAGTACTCAAGCATCATATTGAAGTTTTACAACAAATTGGCCAAGAAATTAAAGTGGGAATAACCTGAAAAAAACGTGAAATAAACACACCAAGGAAGAGAGAAACTTAAAATGAGAACGGACACCTGTTAATGCCCTAAAGGAGAGAACAACAGATTCAAGTAGCAGTCAAAAAAAGTTAACACCAGCACTCTTGCCTATTTCGTTCTTAATACACGTTATCTTTTCTCAAAAAAAAAAAAAAAAACCAGGACTCTTGTTTCTTTTACTGATAAAGAGCAGGGTGATTTGATTTAAGAGATCAATAGGCAACAAAAATTAAATTGGAGACAGTGTAAACAAGTAGACTCAATTTCGACATTATCCACATTGTTAAATTGGTCGTTCTTTTGGTGGGAATTCTGAACATAGGAATTAGTTCTTGTTGCTCCATAAATGAAGATGAATAGAATACAGATCAATTCAGATTTTGTATTAAATATYTTCAYCAAGATAAGAATATAACTCAACTTACCATTATTAGAAGCCATAAAGATAGAAGTATCACAGCAATCACAGAAATCAAATCCTGGAGAATTACTCGAAAGAAAAATAACTGGTTACGTATATACTGAATGGAGAATCTCAAAACAGGGATCTCGAAATCGGAAACAAGGAAAAGTTTACAGGCACCTGTTGTCCTGAGATGTACGGATTTGTTCAGCATGGAGAAAGATTTTGTATAAACACAAACAAGACCCTACAATCAATCGGGATTTCTAGGCAGAAACACAAGCTACCCCCACTTCAAATTTCAGAGCCAACGAACTTTGAATTGTAACAAAATTGTTGAAACGCTAAGATGTGGAAGTTACAGATAGATCAAAATTACTCCACAGACCCATACTTCTCGGATATGATTCGAAAAGGAATCACTTCACCAGTTGAAACGTCAAGTTCTCAGTAACAACATAATACTTGGGAACTCATAATTCAAATCCTATGTAAATCCAATAAAGAGTTCAATCGGATGTTGGAAAGGAACGGCGAGAACTACAGAAAATTCGAAAAAAGAGAGAGACAAAGAACAAGATGAATCAATAAGAAGAACAGAAGAGAGAGGAGTCCAAACCTCTGAACTGAACTAGAGAATGTGAAGATACTTGAATTTGCCGTCTCTCTGATTCAAAGATTTGTGTTTTGGTTTCAGTCCAATTCAAGACTGGCTGTCTGGCTAGTGGCTAGTGGCTACTGAAATGAAACGAGGCTCTGATCAAACCGCCCAACGAGATAGTTCGGGAATTGGGACAGGGTCCTGCTGGCTTTTATAGGCCCAAGCTCCTGCTTCACTCCACTCTTATGTTTGTGTACCGTAGTGAGTTAACATTAACCCGCGCACGCAGTTATATTGTTATGGGCTTAATTACGGTAACTTCTTTTTTGAACCCACAAGTACGGGCCCATTCTTGAGTAATCTTCGAACCTTCGGTGGCCCATTTAGTCGGAGACGGAACGGAAGTTGACCATGTCCATGTGTCCTCTTGACATTTTTTTTTTATATTTGTAATTTTAAATGCGTTTGGCYACGGTTCTTTAGGCTCAGTTTGCACTCTACATATTTGCATTTGTATTCCTTCCAAACTGAGTCTAAATTGCATTCTACATTAAAGAATGATTTTCTTGAGAAATAATATTCCTTTTTTGTTTTTTGGTAAACCTTGAAAGATATTATTGGATGTAAGAGTATACTAATTTTTTATGTGTTATTTAAATTGAAAAATAAATTATTAAGTAAAGATACACTGAGTGTTGCAACATGTGACTCAAAGAGACCAACTTGTGTTGAAAAAAAAGACAGAACGACTGTTCAGCCTACCCGTATAGGTGGGATGAATCTCAATCGTGGATCGATGCCAAATCTATAGACATGATGCGGTTTATAGGGCTATTAGTAAAGTATGGAAAGCTGTAATTTCAAATTTCTGCGGTGGAGTGCAGTGTATTTCATCGAAAAAATACTTATTTACCTCGTAGAAAATACTCTTTCTATGGTTGGTTATTTTACTTTAAGTGGAACCAAAATTTGCTACGCTTTTCTGATTTTCTTCCTATTCTTGTTACTCTAATATTGTGTTTGGTTTGGAGGAAAAGGTAGGGAAAGGAAGAGAAAATGCTCTTGTAACATTAAGGTTGTGTTTGGAATCGATGTAAATCAAGAATAATGTAAACATTTACATAGGTTTGGTTTTGTTTGCATTTGGAAAGAGTGTGTAAAGATCGACGTAAAACTCCACTCCAGTTCAGTTTTGCACACATTTGGATGGAATTGAATTTTACGTTGTGAATCAATATAAAACCTCATCATATGTAAAGTTTTACATCGATTATCAATGTAAATACTACATCGACAAAATCGATGTAAAACATTATACCGATTGCATCACGTTTTCAAAAATACAATGGTCACTTATAACAGTTCAATGTAAAACGTCATCAGTGTACTTTTACACTGAGTCCAAACGTAGCCTAATATTGTTACATTTATTCATCTTTGTGCGCATGTTATGAAACATATGCCACATATGGATTGCCTAATGTAAATTTGTATTTGATGTAGGGTGGCCCAGCCCATGAACGCCAGAACTAGGGATGCGACTAACCACAATAGGGGCTACCCTGCACCCCTCGTACGGAGCCAATCGTGGAGCACTCACGTGTCCCCGCAGAACTCACTAACTACCCTCGTATGGCTCCCATCTCAGGCATTCATCTCCACCAACCTCTAGGCGACTCAAGTATAAATAGGGGTACCCCCTCCAGGTGAGGGATCCTGATCTTGAAATCWGACCCTACTACAGAACTTAAGCGTCCTCACTTTGGGAATTCAGTATCCATGAGAAGCCCCCTTGGATCCCTCGTCTGTACTCAATTCCCCTCTTCATACCCTCATACTGACTTGACCGTCAGAGCCTCCGCCTCGGGTTCTCACCCGAGGCCTCTAACATCCTCTTCCTTGTAGCACCTTCGCTATTAGCCCTTGGMTTCTACGGAACTCGGTACGCCATTAGCCTCGGCCTCCAGCCTTCGGAACACCCAGAACCTTATCACTAGTGAACAATTCCCATGGTGTGAAGAGCCAGGAACACCCAGATGATCCCCTAAAAAGCTGTAATAAACTAAGAATTCCCTAAGCTCCAATCACCATGGTGAGAAGAGCTAGGAACACCCAGAACCTTGTCACTAGTGAACAATTCTAGGTTGTGCTCGACCGCCTAGAGTATTTAACCCAATGAGTCGAGCAGAGCTACCCACAAGCAGGAGGTCCTCCCCAGGGAGACCGCCTTGTCGGGGAGTCAGCATAACCAGGATGGCATGGGTCCACCAGCCAGCTAGCCCTCGGCCCTGGCCATGTGCCGCAGTTCGACCCTACGAGTCTAGCAGCCGCCGCCTAGCCAGCCTGCCTAGGGACTCCCGACCTTCAAGCTGAAGGGAGGAGGAACCAGCACAATCTAGGGATAGCCGCCAACCCTCCGAACAACATCACTAGTGCCGAAGGGCAAACTCGAGGGACGAAGGCGGGCGTCGTGGTCGCCCCAATGCCCATTCTAGGGTCGAGGGCTGACGCTGAGCCTCTTCCCCTCATATCTCGGATCTCCGCGACGTCCTGAATGACCGCCATGCCAAGCGTGAGGCACGCGGTCTTGCCTCATAACACTTTGGATTCCGCGTCGACCCCCACTGCGTCCGCGAAGACCGAGTTGGCACACAGGCCATGCTCGACCCTCAGTTCGCCGAACTGCGAGTAGAGCTCGGTGCAGTTAAAGCCGAGCTCCGACAAGTTAAGGAAGGCCAAACTGACACCTCGACCGGACAGAGTAACTCTATGGGGAGAATGGATGCCTTCTACCCCGACATCATCGCCAAGCCATTACCCCCAAATTTCAAAGCTCCCACCTTGGAGATGTACAACGAGAACACAGACCCAGACGATCACCTGGAGAGCTTCAAGGCACTCATGATCCTATATGGATACTCTGACGCCTTGACATGCCGCACTTTCCAAGCAACCTTCAAGGGAGCCGCTCGACGGTGGTTCTCAAGCCTCCCACCTCGGTCCATTAACTCGTGGGAGCAGTTCTCCAGCTTGTTCCTCACTTGCTTCATCAGCAGTCRATGACCCCAGAAGAGTGTTGTCTCGCTAATGACAGTTAAGCAGAAGCGAGGAGAAAGTTTACGGTCATACATTGACTGCTTCAAGAAGGAAGAGCTCGAGGTCCGAGACCTCGACCCCATGGTCTCCATGCACGCCGCCATCAGCGGACTCTTCCCTGGCTTGGCCCTCAAGTGCTCAATCGCCACAGCCAACATCCTCTTCTACGAAGCATTTGAGAAGATGAAGATAGCGCAGGAGCGCCTTCAGCCAACAAATGTCCCACTAGTTGGCTTCTTCAGCAACATTGTAAAACCAGAGGGCAAGATCACCCTACTGGTCACAGTAGGGATAGAGCCCTTGCAGATGACAAGGATGAYAGAGTTCCTAGTCGTAAGGATTGACTTACCGTACAATGCAATCATGGGAAGGACAACCCTTCATGCGCTCCGGGCAGCCAAGAATAGACCACCTCGTTGATGCCACTGTAGGGTACGAACTACTCAGCTTCATGGATGCCTTCTTCGGATATAACCAAATAACGATGCACCTGGGTAATGAAGAGAAGACTTCATTCATCACTAAGCACGACACATATTGCTACCAAATGAAGCCCTTCGGCCTCAAAAATGTTGGGGCCACCTACCAACGCCTTGTTAACAAGGTGTTCAAATGTTGGAGCCATCTATGTGGATGACATGGTAGTAAAAAGCCTGAAATCCAAGAACCATATCTCAGACCTAGCCGAGACCTTCGACACTTTGTGGAAGTGCAACATGAAGCTCAACCCCAGTAAGTGCGCCTTCGGTGTCAAATCAGGCAAATTTTTGGGCTTCGTCGTCACTCAAAGAGGCATTGAGGCTAACCCTTAGAAGATACAAGCCATACTGGATATGGCACCTCCTCGGACGGTGAAGGAAACCCAGAGACTCACCGGCCGAATAGCAGCCCTCAGTCGCTTCATGTCGAAGTCAGCCGACCGCTGCCTACCCTTCTTCCGTGCCATCAAGAAACTAAAAGATTTTCAGTGGATGGAGGAGTGCCAGCATGCCTTCAATGAGCTCAAGGCGTACCTTACCTCACCTCCCCACCTCGCCCGGTCAGTCGAGGGAGAAACCTTGTACCTATACCTCTCTGTCGGGGACGAAGCAGTCAGTTCAATATTGATTAAAGAAAACGACATGCAGAAGCTAGTCTATTATACCAACAAGGTACTCTGTGACACTGAAACTAGGTATCCCAAGATAGAGAAATTGGCTTTCACCCTCGTGGTTTCATCTAGAAAGTTCAAACCATACTTCCAAGCTCACTCAATAGTGGTCCTAACGAACCAGCCCTCAAAGCTGTCCTCGCCAAGCCCGAGATCTCGGGACGCCTAACGAAGTGGGCCATCAATCTTTTCGAGTTTGATGTTCGGTACCAACCAAGGCCCATAATCAAGGCGCAAGCTCTGGCAGACTTCATAGTGGAATGCACTTTTAGCCGAGCCCTCCACCAGACCCCAGAAAATGACGAAAGGGGTCATGTGGACGATGAGGCTCACCCCTGATGAAAAYTCTTTGTCAATGGCTCCTCAAATGCTAAAGGAAGCGGAGCGGCCCTCATCCTTCTCACCCCCGATGATGTTGCTATAGAATATGCACTAAGATTTAACTTCCCAGCATCAAACAACAAAGCTGAGTACAAGGCCCTCCTCGCTGGCCTATAGCTTGTTAGGGACCTTGGCTCCTCACAAGTTGAAGCCTTCAGTGACTCTCAGTTGGTGGTGAATCAAGTAAATGGCAAGTACAAGGCCAAAGAACAAAGCATGTCCAAGTACCTCGCCAAAATCCAAGGTTTAGCCCGCCACTTCTAGCGTTTCTCCTTGCAGCAAGTTCCGTGACCTGAGAACGCAAGAGCTGACGCCCTCTCCAAACTGGCAAGCACTTCTAGCGGAGTCCTCGGTTGGACTGTGCTCGTAGAAAAGTTACTTTGGCCCTCCATTGAAGAAGTCCAAGTGCTCCCAATAGAGGTTGAGCCATCATGGATGGATCCCATCATCAATTTCCTATCAACAAGATAGCTGCCCAAAGACAAGAATGAGGCAAAGCGACTTAGACGTCAAGCAACCCACTATGCCTTGTTAGAAGAAAAACTGTACTGAAAATCCTTCACCT